GGATTCGAACCCGCCACCTTAGGTGTATGTGGCTGGCGCCTTAGCCGCTTGAGCCACAGGCGCCGAGCCAATAGATATAGTTTTAAATGTAAGTACTGAAGTAGGATAGGAAGATGAAGTAAGACATAGTAAGAAAAAAACTTTACAGAAGAATGAGCAAGTCAATTAAGGGTGTATCTGACAAACACTTACTGGTTCAGCATGACATCAAGAACAAATGAAGTTCCAAAGGCATCAACCTGGAAGCTTGCCTGGTCAACGTGAGTCAACTGCAACATTGAAAAAAAAATGGTACATTTTACTCAGCCATAGCAATCAGGCAGGAATTATTTCTTATGATTACTCTAAGAAGATTTATCATATGAAAGCCATTTCAACATGGACAATAAGTGACAACGTATTAAAGTAAAATTTGTAACTTCTTAGAAGTCCAACATTCACCAATCTGAAGTAAATTACCACCCAATCAAGGATGACAAATGCCTTAATTTTCTGGTTTATCTCAAGTAGTTAAACAAGACTATATTTCATCCATCTTATTCTATATTAAGTAACTATCCTCTTTAAAAGTTAAGCTTTGGATATACAAAAAGAAAAAAGTAAAATATGCTCAATTCAAGCGTAAAATAACATGGTGAATATAGTCTGTTTACAAGGAAGATGTCTAAATCTTCAAGAAAACAAACCTTTTTCATTGTATCTCAAATATATACCATAAAAATACTATTTCAGTTCTAATTTACCAAACCTAATTTCATTTCCACATCTTCCAAAAGCAAAATTGAACCTCTGCACATCTATTGCAAATATCACTTATCCAAATTTTCTTGGATGAAGAGAAAAATCATTGTTTCCTAGGCCATTTTACGAACTCCCAGAGACAATCCCAAGGGACTCTAAAAACTGTACTGTTACCAATAACAATAATACTAGCATATTGAATAATCATGTAGATTAAAAAGAAAGGAGGAAGCAAAGGTGCCTCTCTGTTTGACTCCTAATACAGTGAAAATAGTTACATCTAAACAGGACTAAGAATTATTGGAATGTTTTGTATATGTTTCTACATTATCCAAATTTTTAGAATAAACATGTATAATTCCTACAATAAGAAAAAATAACAGATATTCTTTTAGATACAAAAAACATCTGAGCAATTGCACAAAGTATGTGACAAGGCCAGTGATACTGCTGTCCCTGAGAATCAGCTCATCACGGAAGGGACATTGTAGGATCCAGTGGGGCAAAAAGGGCTCCTCAGCCATGCCTGAGATTTCACAAACAGTAAACTATGGGTAATAGGAGAGAGTTTAATTAACAACAATAATGCTTTAGAGAAAAAAAAGGATAATTCTTCTGTTTTAAAATCTTTGAGAGAAGTTGGGGTGGGAGAATGCTATACCTCAGTTGCTAATATATTCCAATCTTCATAAAACTTGAAAGATGGAGAACACAACTCCAGATACCTCTCAGCCTCATTAATAATTTGACCATAATTCCCAACTATTCCCAATTAGCACTCAGGACCTGACTAAACTTTGTTCTTTGTTTCCCTTTTTAATGATAGTTTTTAGAGCCACATCTGGGCCACAAACTATATTCCCTTGACCTTTCTTTGTTTAATTTTTTTCTTTTTTGAAATACAGTTTCACTCTGTCACCCTGGGTAGAAGGCCATGTCATCATCATAGCTCACAGCAACCTCAATCTCTTGGGCTCGGCCTCCCAAGTAGCTGGAACTACAGGTGCCCTTCACAAAACCTGGCTAGTTTTTCTGTCTTAGTAGAGATGGGTCTTACTCTTGTTCAGGCTGCTCTTGAACTCCTTAGCTCAAGCAATCCACCTGCCTTGGTCTCCCACTAATCCTCAGTGCTAGGATTACAGGTGTGAGCCATTGTGCCTGGCCCCCCTGATATTTCTAAAGCTGACTCCTTATGAAAGCCCCAAATATAAGCCTCAGATTTTCCACTGCATCAAATGTAAACCCCCTTCTCCTTGGAGGTCAAGAGCCTCCATAATCACCTTTCCCTCCCCAGGCACAATGGTGCATATGTTTCCAAGCACCCACCTGCACCCCATCCACACTCAGTTCTCTTTTCTACTCTTCAATTCAAAAGCTGTGTTGATTCTAACTTTTTCTGTGCCTTTCATTAAGTTGAGCCCTTTTCTGAATCAGATACTTCATCAAAAGGGTTTCTCCCAGAAATGATACCACCCATCCAAGATTTGGATCAAGTTCCTCTTACAGTCTGATAGGGCTGCCATAAAAAGAAAATACCAACAGAAGTTCATTTTCTCACTGTTATGGAGACCAGAAGTCCAAGATCAAGATGCTGGTAGATTTGGCTTTTCCTAAAGCCTCTATCCCTGGCTTGCAGATGGTTGTTTTCTCATTCTGTCTTCAGGCCGACTTCTCTCTGTGTGTGCACATGCCTGCTGTCTCTTCCTCTTCTGATGAGATCACCAGTCAAAATGGATCAGGGCCCCACCCTTATGACCTTGTTTAACCTTAATTACTTCTTACAGGTCCCAGCTTCAGTTATAGTCACACTGAGGATTAGACCTTTCACACAGGAGTTTGGGGAGTAGGGAGCCACAATCCTGTACATAACATTGCGGTTATATGAAGTCTTCCCAACATCTTCCAAAGGCCTCCTCTCCCCCTCCTCACTACAGGTCAGAATCATATCAGGGCCTCACTGCTGACCAGCATCAGGTACTCAATTAGTATCATCTGAATGAAAGATTCATTTGAGGGTTGTTTTATCAATCACCTGGATGCACGAATGAACAATGTAAAAGCTATAAATTAACCAGCTTATAGAAATGCACTCTTTCCATCAAGGTTGCTCTTAATGCCATGTCAATGGGTAACATTATTAATTCTATCTAAAAGCTCTTTGAATTTCCTGAAGTGCTAACGATTATGTTTTGGAAACAACCCTAGGAAAGTTCTGCTTACCAGAATTGATGTCTCAGTTAAAATGAACCTCTCTTCCTCCATTCTTCCTAGGCACTTGTACAACTTGAGATAGCTCTTATCTTAGTCTCTTTTGAAAGAAAAATATTAATGTTGCAAATCTGTGGTGAATAGGGTAGAGACCAGATGCTACTTATCTTGGTGTCATGATTACAGCTTGGATCAAGGTAATACTAACATTCTTTTCTGGCAAGGTACTTATTGTTTGCATTAATTTCAATTTGTATACATGCATATTTTCTTTTTCCTACAGCTCCACGTTCCATCTGGTACTTTATTTTATTGATAAAATAAATCCATGTCCCAAGAAGAAACCCATATACTTAAATTCAAAAGAAAATCCACTGACAACATGCTTAACTACTACCTAGAAAAACATCTGCATTATTGATGGCAACAGGAAGAGTATGTTAATAAAGTTTTAATGTAAGGCATGCTTCCTTAGACTGTATACAGAATGTTTCAATGAACTAACTTCTTAGACAGTCTACTAAGGGCTAGAAACTATTTAGATGCAGGGGACAAAGTCGTGAAGAAGACTGACCATGTTTCTGCTCCAGTGGAGTTTATCTTCTAGTAGAGGGAAACATACAATGAACAATTAAAGGAAAACAGGTAGAACAGATTCAGAAAACAGATATACTATTTGCAGATTTAATAAAACAGAAAAATGTTGTCAAGAATGACCAGAGAAGGCCAGGTGTGGTGACTCACTCCTATAACCCTAGCACTCTGGGAGGCCGAGATGGGTGGATTGCTTGAACTCAGGAGTTCAAGACCAGCCTGAGCAAAAGTGAGACCCCACTTCTACCAAAAATTGGATAACTGGCCAGGCATGGTGGCACACACCTGTAGTCCTGGCTATTCTGGACGCTGAGGCAAGAGGATCACTTGAGCACAAGAGTTTGTGATTGCTATGAGCTATGACATCATGGCACTCTAGCCAGGGGGAACACAGTAAGATTCTGTCTTAAATAAATAACCAGAGAAGATGAGGGTCTAAAGTAGTCCTGGAAGGCCTCTTTGAGGAGGGGACATCCAGGTGACAACCTTAATGACTAGAAGGGATCTATGGTATACAGAATAATGGCCCCAGGCTCGGCGCCTATAGCTCAACCGGCTAAGGCGCCAGCCACATACACCTAAGGTGGCGGGTTCGAATCCCCAGCCC